AAAAAAAAAATCTGAAATGTTTCAGATTTTAAATTACGTCCAAAGGGGCGTTTTTTAACATTTTGTGTGTTACCTTTCTTTATTAAATATCATGTTCCTCGCACTTAAACCATAAGATCCAGTGCAACAGCAATATCGCAAAATAGTTTTAAAACGAGCCTATCTTTAGAATTTCCGATACAGAGACTCACGCGCTGGAGATAAAAATGTTTTTCTGCACGACGTTGCCATTGCTCGCTTTGAAATCCTTGAGTTTGTTAATCAAAAATTCGTCAAAGTTTTAAAAAATAGGAAATCGATCATAAAACAAATTTCAAATTTCAAATTGGGTCTTCCACATGCTCATATTCGTTGGAGGATTACGTTATTCAAAATTCGATGACTCTATGTACCGTTGTTTTATCACAATACGAGAAATATACATACATTTATGCAGATTTTTCATTATTTAATTTCTTCAAATATAATGCAGGACTCTAACATTTTGTGGCAACTGTTTGAAAAGTGAACCGACATTTATGAGTCCGACGCAAAATGCAAAAACGAAACTAATAGTCCTTCGGGATTCAAATCCCTTTGGACTAAAAACAGAATGTGAAATAATTCAAAAAATAAAAATTGTTCTAATATAATAAAAATCAAGAGTTTTTTTTCAATAATAAGAACAATTGGGAATTTGACATTATTTGAGACTATTCAATATAAAAGTTGCTCTTTTGCCTAAATTTGAGTTTTATACTAGCGTGTTTCTCTTCCCGTTTGGTTTTATAAAAGCTGGAATAGAAATCCAGCTGTTTTATGATTGGAAATAGACTGGTTTGAGAAAGAAATTTTGGTACTAAAGTTGAGAAATTCTTCCGCAAAACATTCTCCACGATTTATTTAAGACATACGTATACAAAACATGCTCTCTGGATATATGATTTTTAAACCAAAATGTAACTAAAACAGCCCAATATACATTTGGTTGAAAACTGGTTCTTCATCGTACGATAAAAAATGTGCAACCCTACAAAATAAATTAACAATCCCTTCAAGTTATTACTCGGCTGATATATTATCAAAGAGCAAGGTCAGAATATTATTCACACTATGGTTTTTTGGTTCAGTTTTATGTGATTACGGCAAAGCTCTGAGGGCTATCTGCCTAAGGGAAGAGATGCCTTCTTGGAGGGCTTTCTAAGGGAAGCTGCCTCGTATACATCTTATACATGTGGAAAACCAAACAAACGTCCATGCAGGCAGCTCGTTTGCAGGATTTGAGCCTCGAACAGAATTACCAGTGTTCAGTGACTTTACCGTTTGGTGGACTCTGGAGTAAGAAGGAAGACAGAGAGATTTCGATTGTTCGCGTGCAGACTTTGTCAGTAGGTTACATCGCAAGTACAGATTTTGATACTTATTTCTTTTACAAAATCTGATGGAGCAAATAAATTTAGAATAATTTCTATGGATGTATTCAATATACGAATTTTTACCTCTACAAACTTAAAACAATCGAAACTTAATTCATCGAAAAACCTCAAAAGTTTCATTAATATTGGGAAATTGGAGTCATGTGTTTGTAATCAGAACTCACAACGATAATTTATTCTTGCTTTCGTTTGTGAAGCGTTAATTAATCTGCTATATGAGTTTGAATTATTTAATTATACTAAGACGCATTAGGTCTATTTACTAAAATGAAAGGATAATTTTGGGGGAAAAATTCCTAAATGTGAAAACTAGCACAGCGCCAAAGTAAATCATGAAATTTTTATATAATCAGTCGCTTTTATATGTAATTCATAGAAATCCAAAATAATGTTATTACGCGTACAGTGGTGGCCAAAATTGCGGACACTTTTGGAAATTTTTATGTTTTTGAACTTTGTATGCTTATAGAAAACGTTACGTTTCACAAAATGCAAACTTGTATATATCATTTTAAAAAGAATGTTTTAGTAAATTCAATACAAAACACAGAATTCAATTATTTGCAATACAAAAAAAGTTAAACGATAATAGTTATCGATATACATTAGATAGTGATGATTGCAGTGAGTTTCAGTACTTAGTAGGGTACCCTTTATTTTTGATTACAGCTTCACATCGACGTTTCATTGAGCTGAGAAGAGTTTTAAGCTCTTCTTTCGTTATTACATGATGCCAGGAAACAATTATAGCCTCAATTAGTTCCCTTTTATTTGATGGGCACCTCATTCGGACAAGAGTTTTCAAACGGTGCCGCAAATTTTCGACAGGATTGAGGTCAGGACTGTTTCCTGGCCATGACAACAATTTAATGCTTTTTGTACGAAACCACTCTTTCGATATTTTGGCCGTGTGGCAAGGAGCAGAAGCCTGCTGAAAAATAAACGAAGCATTGTTGGGAAAGAGATCTCTGATGGAAGGTAGAAATTTTGGTTCTAGAATAGTGTCAATGTATTTTCCGGCATTCAGTGTCCCATCGATGACATGAAGGCGACCAATACCATCTGCTGACATGCATGACCAAATCATAACACTAAGTGGGTTCTTCACAGTTACTTGAATGCAGTCAGGATGTAGCTCTTCTCCTATTCTATGTCTTACATATTTTCGACCATCACTACCGAATAAGGATATCTTATTTTCATCACTCCATATAACTAGTGACCACTGATCATCTGTCCAATTAATGTGTTCTTTTGCTCACTGTAGTCTTTTTTTTTCGTTGCTGAAAATTAAGATAAGGGTTTGTTTCGTGGAATTCTACCTCTCAGTCCAACATCTGTTAATCTTCTCCTGATTGTTCTTGAACTGACAGAAACAACAGCATCATTCTGATCACTTCTCATTTCCGCTGATGACATTTTTCTATCTTGGAGACATAGTCTTTTTATTCTTCTGTCATCAATAGATGTGTGCACCTTTTTCGGCCTTTTCCTTCTTTGTTTTTTATTGAATTTGTCTCCTGATATCGTAAACAAAACTTTCGGACTCCAGATGTAGTCATTGAACCACCCACCTGTCTTGCAATTTCAGCATAGGAAAGACCACTTTCTCATAACACAATAATATTACATCTCTTTCTAGGTGCCCAATCTACTCTTTTATTTGATGTCATTGCTTCTTGACTAAATATTAAAAATTTTTACAAAAATTCCTACTTGTAATAGCAGTGTATAAGAAACAGGTCCTCCTTCTACAGAACAAAGCAAAATAATGAATTGTTTCCAAGTGTAAACATGATGTCAACTTCTACTGGCAGTTACTAATATTTGATTGGTTCTCAGAACAAGAACAGTGATTGGCCAGGAAAGCTAGACATTACAAACCATTTCATAACTGTGTTTTTTATTTATATTAAAGTACATATAACTTTTTTTGTATTGCAAATAATCGAATTTTGTGTTTTGTATTGAATTCAGTAATAAATTCTCTTTAAAATGATATATACAAGTTTGCATTTTGCGAAACGTTACATTTTCTATAAGCATACAAAGTTCAAAAACATAAAAATTTCCAAAAGTGTCCACAAGTTTGGCCGCCACTGTATATACTAACATACGATCGAAACACTGAGCACAAAGTAGCAGAGAAATTACAGAAGCGAATAATGAGAATGAGTGAAATTAAAAAACAATAATAACATGTATTTCATGTCCACTCTGTTTGTACGTCCAATGTGTTTCTGAAAATATTAATATCATCAAAGAAACAAGACATATAAATACAATTTAACCTTCCAGCACGTGCGCTTGGCGATTTTACATGGGCACGCGCGTGTGTCGCATTTTTTACGACATCCGTTATTTTACCGTTTTTGGAACGAAAAACGACAGAAATGAGTGAATATTGATAATAAATTTGTTAAGAAATAAAATATTAGTCTTATTATTGCAAAATACAAATCATATCACATTCAAATATAAGTAAATTATTTTTAAGTTCTTATGCTAGTGAGATGGAAATGCAATGATGTATTTCATTATAGAACATTTTAAACTTATTATTTAATAATTATATTTTAAAATCGAAGCTAATTTTAATATTCATCAAAGGAAAGTATAGACAAATAAAAAAGGAAAATACCTTGGTAGGAGAAAAAGTAAGTTTAGCATTACTTACTTCTGCAAGGAAATTTACTTCTTACTGGTTACAAAAACGCACTTTAAACTAACTTAAATATTTTTATTTATTTCTAAAACTTAGAAATAAAAGAAAATAAGGAATGAAAATCGCTATTGTTCTCCCACCCAAAGGTTTCCTTGTCTTCCTTTTCTTCATCAGATAATTCTTAAAGGATGCGAGCAAAATCAGCTGGTTGCACATATTTTTTTGCCATGAAAACCGATATAAAATTTACAGAGCCAAATGTATTCAAATTAAAATAATACACGACAATTATTAACACAAAATTACAAAATATTTGAGAAAAAAATATTTTCGAAATTTTCACCCACGGCCATGCGCGTGTAGTAACTTTAACGAAAAAGCTGCCACGTACCACAAAAGCCCAGTTAAAAAAAAGGCAAATGACTTCCTGTTGGCACATTCGATGATATGGGGAAGGGTAGAAAGGAGGAATAATAATGACATTCAGACGTCTCAGCTTCAATATGCGAAAAATGTGCGTTAAAAACTGAATTTGTAGTAAATTTTGGGCATACGCGTGTGCTGGAATGACGCTAATGTAATGGGTGTCCACAGAAAATGTTCCGATGTTTCCTCCAAAGATTGATGAAAAAATAACATCAATAAATTCGTATTGAATTACTTAATTTCGGGGAAGTGTAGAATACAATATTTCATTAATACAAGGAAATATTTTTCTGATTTTTGTGCCCTCTTTCTGAGGACGCTTATGATAATCATAATAAAACAATAACATTTTGTTTTATAAACTTTGGTATTTGTAAATGTGTAAATCTTAAATTTAATAATCAAAATTCCTGAAATTTCTCTAAGCTTCTATATATTTTTATTTACAACTTGCCTTTATTTTTGAAACTAATAAAACACATTATATTTTACAGGCTTTGTCTATTAGGGTAAATCCTCTGTTACTAATGCTTCCGGCGACTGTAGCTTGCTCTTATGCCTTTATGTTACCTGTAGGTACACCTGCAAATGCCATTGCATTTGAAAGCGGCAACATGAAACCTCTGGACATGGTAAGATTAAAAAAAAAAAGTCTTTCAATCGTTTAAAAAATGGATATTAGCACTGTACATTTAATAAGTGTACTGAAGACTTTTTTCTCTCACTTGCTTTGCTGATAAATACGCACATGATTCTGTCATAGTTCTGATGAGCTTACTGTGCAGCAGATTTTTGCACTGTTATTTCATCTTTCACACTCGATTTTATTTTTAGCATTAATACCTCGATATAGATGGTATAGATTGAAACAGTGAGATAGCAAAATGAGTACTGCTCTCGGAATCCAGAAAAATACGAGAAAAAAGCTGCAAAAGTTTAAAAACTACTCCAAACGTGTCACTGATACTCTGGGAAACAGGAATTTAATAAAAAGGTGAATTTGGGAAAAAAAATTATATATTGTTAATAAAAAATATAGGCAGTATTCGGTTTTGAGGGCCGTAAAAAATCGCCAACTATTCTTGATGCCAAGGCTGCCAAAAATAATTGTGGCAACCCTAATGCAAGAAAGGTGGTGGTGTGGTGTATTTAATTATGGCAAAGCACACTAGGGCTATCTGCCTAAGGGGAGGGATGCCTTTCGTGGAGGACTTTCTAAGGGAAACTGGCTCGTATACACGTTACACATGGGGAAAACCACGAAAATGCATGCAGCCAGCCCGTTCGCGGGATTCGAACCTCGGACCGAACTACCAGTGTTCAGCGACATTACCGCTCGGCCGCTGGTGGGCCTAATGCAAGAAGGGAAAAATAATAGTAAATAACTATCTAAGATTGTTGTTTTAATTTAGATGAAAGGTTCATTTCATATAATACTTTTTTATTATTATAATTTACATAAAAAATCTGATGTGTACACCACATGACTTCCTTGTACGGAATATTGAATTATACGCATTTTTTTTTTGCATTTCATTTAAACTTATTAGATTGAATTAAACTTCGCCGACAGCGCAAAAACCACAATAGAATAAATGCATTCTTTAAAATTCACATTGTTTACCATAGTGACACTCTAGCGCTAGGTTCACTTAGTAGTATTATATTTCGTTCATATTATAACTCAGAATGCACGAATTTATTTCTTTTAAAGAATTATTTAATCGTTGTCACATGTTCTATTCAAATACTATAATAAAGCTAGAACTATGTATAAAAAAATTTAAGCAAACAAAACAAAAAAGAAACAGTTTTTCACAGACGATGGAGTATTTCTCATTTAATTAATTCAGTTTTCTCTTCGCGACAAGGCAAAAATACATAAAAACTCAAAATATCTGTATTAAAAATTACGAAGTAAATCTTAAACGCTTATTTCCTCGAAAAAATTCCAGAAAGGATTAAGCATGATTTAAATAATAAGTGAAGGCGTTATCTTTGTTGTTGCGAAGTTAAGTTTCTCTAGATTGGCAACAAATCCGCTACTCAGCTGTTTCAAATGTAAACAAGAGCAATGGCCGCCATCAAATTAGGCTTAGCGGCACTTAAACAATTTTAAAATTGTTGATAATTCTAAAAATATTGCATACAGATTTACTAAAGGCATAAAACCCTTAACCGGAAGATAAAAACAACATAATTCAATCATTTTTAAAGCAAAACATTTACAATTTACAAACATATAAGAGTAAAGAAACTGAGATCACTGAGCCGGGTAACAGAGTGGATATATTTATAAATATACTTATATACGTTTGGCGCGGCCGATTGCAACCAAATTATGAGGTGCACATCTACATGTTATAGTAGTAGTATACACAAAATTTTAACGTTCTGAGGCTACTCGTTTTTGAGTTTTGCGAAATACGTACGTAGCGTACGTACATAGTACGTTCGTACAGACGCCACGAAAAATTCTCTTCAGAATTCATTTTAAAGCAATTTTTTTGGAGGAAAAGACTCTTTTATTCTGTCCTTACGTACAGATATCACGCAAAAACATCGTTAAATTGCATTCGAAAGCGGTCAAAGTGGATATTTTCGTTGAAATATGCTGCCTGAAGCTCTTCGCGATTACAATACTTCCTTTTTACTTCGTACAAGGAAGTAAAAGGGCTAAACATGACTGAATGGAAGCATAAGAGTGAATAACTATTTCAGATCATTATTATAATTTATATAAAAATTGCTAAACAAAACTGAATGGATGCCTTCATCGCTATTTCACTACCGAGTTGTCGCTAAAGCATAATTTCCTCTCGTTGCTTGTTCAAACATAATTTTCTATAATAAATATATTATTATAGAAATAATTAATTTCTATAATAAATGACGTGTTTTCTTTGAAAATATTCTCGGTAAAGTGCAGAATCGCTCACTTATTTGTTTGCCGCTTTTTATAAGGGTAAAAAAAATTGGATTTTTGTCAATTTTCTTTTATATTTTAAGTGAAAATAGGTCGATGCGTACATAGATAAAGTCAAGGTTGTGCGCAGTGCCATTTTTGTGCAATTCTGGGATATTTTTTTTAAGTGAAAATAGGTCGATGTGTACATGGTGTGATACTTCTTTGGCAATATGAAGCAACTCCAATGATGGAACACAGAAAAAAACTTTATTTAGCACTCAAAATGGCGACATACAAACAAAAAGAGAAAACATATTCTATCATTTAAAAATAAATTACATTCTTCGTGCGAGAGTCGCACGTGGCACTCGAGTCTGGTTTCAAATGTTGCCATTCACAAATAACTTAATGTTCATCTATTTAAATTATTTAAACTACAAGATTTTAATACTATTTAAAGCTGTTACAATGGATACCGAGTATGTGCAATTCTTAAAAACGCGTCAAGCAGTGGGTGATTCTACACTTTACTTGCAGACTTTTCGTCACGGGCAAATCGCAAATTGTTAAATCCATAGGATATCAGAAAAGGATTTAAAATCGAAAAAGGATTTAAAATAAAAAATGGATTTAAAAATTAAACTAGTATTTTAATGGCGTCTAAGGAAATATGGAACTATATAAACTTACGCAATCTGAAATCAGCGCGTACGCTAGATTTGGCGCGCTGGTAAATGGGCGCGTTTGCTAGATTTGGCGCTTTTGCGCAGACATTTTCGCTGCAATTTTTTTACGGTCCTTAAAACGGAATAGTACCAAAAGATATATTACAATGAAAACGTTATTTCCTATGTACAACAACAGTATTTTTGAAAAATAGAAAGCAGTTACTTTTAAAGCTACACAAAATTTACATACATTTTTTTTTTTTTTTTTTTTTTTTTTTTTTTTACATTTCGGACGTCATGCTTTAGAAGTGACGATGAGAGCAAGGATGGAAATATCGAATAATTCGTATTTTGTAAAATTTTAACAAATTTTTGATTAAAAAACTCAACGATATCAAACCGAGCAGTGGCAACATTGTACAGCCTGAAATATTTTCATCTCTAGCGCGAGACTATCTATCGGAAATTCGAAAGATATGTTGTTTTTAAATATTTTTAGCCCAAATTGGCGTTAGCCGAAATGCTGTCAAAACATGTATATGTCTGCAAATGAGGAAAAAAACTCCCGTTTGGGAGTAATATATATTTTGGAAGCTTTCAGATTTATTTTTTAATTTATTCTTCAATTTTCCACGCATACATAACACTATATATACCATCCCCTCGCCACGCATACCGACACAAGTCATCACCACAGTTTTCTAACTTCTACAAATTAAAAAATCGGGATGAAAAATCTGAAAGGTTTCAGATTTTAAATTACGTCCAAAGGGGCGTTTTTTTTAACATTTTGTGTGCTATCTTTAATTATTAAATATCACGTTCTTTGCACTTAAAGTATAAAATTCAGTTCAATAGCAATGTCGCAAAATAATTTTTAAATGAGCTTCTCTTTAAGATTTCCGATACACAGTTCTGCGCGCTGGAGATAAAAAGGTTCTTTTCCCCCGTAGAGTGTTGCCATTGCTCGCTTTTAAATCGTTTAGTTTGTAACTCAAAAATTTGTTAAAGCTTTACAAAATACGAAATCGATAATAAAACAAATTCCAAATTTCAAATTTGGGCTTCCAGATGCCCATATTCGCAGTAGGATTACGTCATTCAAAATTTGAATGGCTCTAGGTACCGTTGTTTTATCCCAATGCGAGAAACATGCGTACAATTATGCAGATTCTTCATTATTTAATTTCTTTAAATATAATACAGGGCGATGATATTTGGTAACAAGAATTTGAGAAGTGAAACAACGCAAAATGCCAAAACGAAATTAACAGTCCCTCTGCGCAAATTGCTCCTTCGGACTAATAGGAAATGGAACTCTTTCGTCGGAGAAGCCAGAAGATGTAGTGCAGAAACTGTGTCTCTCCTATGACTGTTTAAGCTGAAAATTCGATGCACCGATTTGTTTATAAATAATGTAAAGATAAATCATTTACTCATTACAACTATGCGTATGTGTTTTATTCAATGATATGCAATCTGGGAAACATTACTCAAGGCTATGATACTTATGATTCGGATAGGAGCATAATTTTGCCTTACAGTCAATTGTTTCGTTCTATTAATTTAGAATTCAAAGAACAAAAATCATCGTTATATTTGCAAATATACACAGGACTATTTCCGATGGTTCGGTAAAGCCATCGAAACTAGTCCTGTGAATATTTGCAAATATAATGAGGATTTTTGTTCTTTGAATTCTAAATTAGTAATACTTCTTCGGCGTGTTATTTTATTTCAATTATAGGAGCTTCATACAGGCTTATTTTTTGCTTCTTTTTTTCTTCCACATGGTGTGTTCACCATTTTGTGATTGTTTGAATTTCGTTCTATCTAACACCAGGAAAAACATGTGTTTTCTCCCCTGGTGTTACTGTTAATTACTTAAAACGTTGAGCGCCACGCGTATGTTTTAGGCAATCCCGTTCAGGCCACGCGCTTCGCTTAAAAGCGCTGGTATTGTAGGGCCAGTGATTCGTATCGCGGTAGAAGGCAGCAACAAGTTGTGAAAAAGAAGACATTCCGTCGAACAAAAATGCAAGAATATCTAGATAACGACAACATAAACTCCGAAAAAAATCGGGAAAAGCCTCTGAAGTACGAAAATATTGTAAATTATGCTATGATAAAAATGCAACAGAAGCTGGTAGATTAATGGCCAGAAAAAAAGAATAAGACAGTTGTCACATTTTGTAATAGCTGTCATGGAGAACCGTTTTTATGCTTACCGTGTTCAAATGAAATCCATTAGTCCTGTAATGAATCAAAATTAAGTAAATTTTAAATAATTTTTCTGTAGTTCCATAAAACAGTGTAAATTGTATAGTTATATATCATGTTACACGCTGTCAGCTAGCGGCGGTCGACGCGGCCTAAACGGAAAGTCTAGTGTCAGCCACAGATGGCTGACGCGGCCTAAACGGAAAGTCTAGTGTCAGCCACAGATGGCTAACGCGGCCTAAACGGAAAGTCTAGTGTCAGCCACAGATGGCTGACGCGGCCTAAACGGAAAGTCTAGTGTCAGCCACAGATGGCTGACGCGGCCTAAACGGAAAGTCTAGTGTCAGCCACAGATGGCTGACGCGGCCTAAACGGAAAGTCTAGTGTCAGCCACAGATGGCTGACGCGGCCTAAAACGAAGTCTAGTGTCAGCCACAGATGGCTGACGCGGCCTAAACGGAAAGTCTAGTGTCAGCCACAGATGGCTGACGCGGCCTAAACGGAAAGTCTAGTGTCAGCCACAGATGGCTGACGCGGCCTAAACGGAAAGTCTAGTGTCAGCCACAGATGGCTGACGCGGCCTAAACGGAAAGGTCTAGTGTGAGCCACAGATGGCTGACGCGGCCTAAACGGAAAGTCTAGTGTGAGCCACAGATGGCTGACGCGGCCTAAACGGAAAGTCTAGTGTCAGCCACAGATGGCTGACGCGGCCTAAACGGAAAGTCTAGTGTGAGCCACAGATGGCTGACGCGGCCTAAACGGAAAGTCTAGTGTCAGCCACAGATGGCTGACGCGGCCTAAACGGAAAGTCTAGTGTCAGCCACAGATGGCTGACGCGGCCTAAACGGAAAGTCTAGTGTGAGCCACAGATGGCTGACGCGGTCTAAACGGAAAGGTCTAGTGTCAGCCACAGATGGCTGACGCGGCCTAAACGGAAAGTCTAGTGTCAGCCACAGATGACTGTGATGAGGGCCTAAACGGAAAGTCTATAGTGTCAGCCATAGATGGCTGACGCGGCCTAAACGGAAAGTGTAGTCTCAGCCACAGATGGCTGACGCGGGCCTAAACGGAAAGTCTAGTGTCAGCCACAGATGGCTGACGCGGCTAAACGGAAAGTCTAGTGTGAGCCACAGATGGCTGACGCGGTCTAAACGGAAAGGTCTAGTGTCAGCCACAGATGGCTGACGCGGCCTAAACGGAAAGTCTAGTGTCAGCCACAGATGGTTGATGAGGCCTAAACGGAAAGTCTAGTGTGAGCCACAGATGGCTGCCGCGGTCTAAACGGAAAGGTCTAGTGTCAGCCACAGATGGCTGACGCGGCCTAAACGGAAAGTCTAGTGTCAGCCACAGATGGCTGACGCGGTCTAAACGGAAAGTCTAGTGTCAGCCACAGGTGGCTGATGCGGCCTAAACGGAAAATCTAGTGTCAGCCACAGATGGCTGACGTGGCGCTTAACGTGTTAATTGCGATAGTGTTATAAAATTGTAAACATTAGACGCCTTTTACCGCACATACAGTTTCTAGCAAATATGAAAGCACTACCATGTGTAAAAAAGTTAGTTAGTACTGTGGGGGCTAAAGGTTAAAAGTGATCAAACGCCTGCAACTTTTTTCCAGGTATCTCAATCCAGTTCTAGTATCAAGCACAGGGATGTCAAACTCATAGGTACACTTGGGCCAAACAAACAAGGTTTAACTTTAGGCGGGCCGAAAAAAAAAAAAAAAAAATCAATATTCATAAAAACGTAGATTCATTTCGAATAATACAATAATAAACATATATATATATATTTATATAGAAAAGAACAAGAAAAATTTAACGTTTTCGTCCTGATACTTGACATCTCTTCTCTGCTATTATCTTTCGTATTTCGGGAGAAATTTTGTTTGCAGTGGTAACTTTCAACGCTGAACCAAGGTGAGCATCATTGATACGGTTTCTAATAGGAGACTCATTACCTATCATGACTGAAAATAACTGCTCGCACCGATAAGTGCTATCAAACATAATTTCATATGCGAATTTTCGAGTATTTTCAAACCTGGCTGGTAAATATTTGTAAAATTCAGGCGTCAGCGATTTTTCGTTTAATTTTGGTTTTGATATAGACATACTGTTAACCACTTGTTTTTGATATAGACATACTGAATACAAAGGGCTGGAACAAAAATTTATTCTTTCCACAAGAGATAAATCAAAATGCTGAAATATTTCTTCAAAAATATTCTAACAATATCACAAAATGTCAAACGTTTAGCAAAAATCAATTCAAAACAGAGAAACTAATTCTATCTCACAGCGAAATCGCTACAAATCAATCACAGCATTAAGTAAACAAAATCGTTAGAACTACAGCTACTACTGAGATGAGTTGTTTGTTCTCGGCTTTTATAAGCTTTATAATTAATTTCTCGAATGTACTGGAAACATCTATAAATATCTGGATTTTTGTGGATGGCAACAGCAATTACGAGATATTTATTTATTAGGTATTAAATGCACGCGCGCTGTTCTATTTTTAACCTTCCAACGCAGCTGTCTTTTCAAAAATCGTCTGCGTTGCTAAGGCAACATGAAGCAAATCTAATTACAATTCTAAATAAAAAACTAAATAAATAAATAACTATGAAATCCGTAACAATATGAATTAAGTAATAATTAATAATAAAGCAAAGTGCATGCACCAATCTATCGTACAAAACTATGATTGGAAAACTAAGACCATGAGTTCGGCCACATTCGGCTATCGGGGGATGCGTACAAGTTCTGAGTGCACGTGTCCCCCAAAAGCGGAAGGTAGCTGAACGCAAGCTACTCACACGCGTTTGTAATTTAAGTAGTGTGTGTGTCAGCTCGCTGTGAGTAATCTAACAACACTGAATAAATTATCGTTAATTACTTAGCAGTAAATATTTCATTTTTTTCTTCGTCGATATGTTATTTTATTATTATATATTATTATTTGCCGATATATTGGCCGGGCCGCAAAAATATTTGTTGTGGGCCGCGAGTTTGACATCCTTGATCAAGCATGATTAAATCTGTGTAAGTAGTCATGAAACTTGAAAATACTTGCAACTTCCTTTTTCTTCGTTTTGTAGGTAAAACCCGGACTTGTTATAAACCTTGTTTCTTGTGCTGTACAACTCTTCATGCTGAATACACTCGGAATGGAGATGTTTAATCTGAATCAGTTTCCCGGCTGGGCAAATGTAAACGGCAGCTCTACTAATTTCTCGAATGCAAACCAGGATTGACTGTAGGTGTAGCTTCGCTGCATAGCCTTTAACTACCTTGAACGTGACTACTTGAAAATGTAATTGTGTAAATACTGTTAGAACATACTTGTAGATGATAACGTATGTCACATCCATAGCCTGCCATAATAAAACATTAACTTTTACCTTGCTGCTTATTTGGTATGGAAACCATTTCCATTCAGACGGAAATGCCACGTAAAATAAAGATTCGATGTGTACACCACATGACTTCCTTGTACGGAATATTAAATTATACGCATTTTTTTCTTGCATTTCATTTAAACTTATTGGATTGAATTAAATCTACTTCGCCGAAAGCGCATAAACCACAATAGAATAAATGCATTCTTTAAAATTCACTCTAGTATTTGTTTACCGGCGACACTCTGGGGCTAGATTCACTTAACAGTATTAATAATTATATAACAGTTAACTTATATAATAATTATATAATGGAAACTAAGTTAACTGTTATATAATCCCATAATTATATAACAGTTAACTTATATATTTCGTTCATATTATAACTCATAATGCACAAAATTTATATCATTTAAAGAATAGAATTATCTAATCGTTGCCACATGTTCTATTCAAATACTATAATAAAGCTAGAACGATGTATGAAAGAAATTAAACAAACAAACAAAAAAGAAACAGATTTTCACAAACGATTGAGTATTTCTCATTCAATTAATTCAGTTCTCACTTCGCGACAAGGCAAAAAATACGTAAAAACTCTAAATATTAAAAACTACGAAGTAAATCTTAAACACTTATTTCCTCGAAAAAATTCCAGAATGGATTAAGCATGATTTAATTCGCAATAATAAATGAAGGCGTTATCTTTGTTGTTTCGAACTTAATTTCTCTAGATTGGCAACAAATCCACTATTCTACTGTTTCAAATGTAAACAAATATGGCCGCCATGGTAATCAAAAATTAGGCTTAGCTGCATTTAAAAAAACTTTTCTATTGTTGATAATTCCACAGTTATTGCATGCAGGTTTTATGCTATGTTTATTGCATTTTATGTTAAAGGCATAAAAATCTTAACCAGAACAACATAATTCAGTCATTTTTGCAAAAGTCAATCAAGCAAAAAATGTACAATTTACCAACGTATGACAATAAAGAAACTGAACCCACTGAACTGAGTAACAGAGTGGATATATATATATATATGTTATATATACCATATATCTATATATACGTACTTTAGGTGCGGCCGATCGTAACCAAATGCGAGGTGCACATCTACATTTTATAGGAGTCCTACATACGAGTACAAAAAGTTTACTCAAAAGATACTCAAAAGTTTATCATGACTTTTTTTTTCAACGGGAAATTGGTTAATTTATTTATTATGATAAATAATATTTTTATTAAAGGATATTGCTTATTTCATGGTGCTTATTTTCTTTTGATTTTTGGACACGCAACACACACATCGCAATCTTCTTGTTCCGGCGCGCATGTGTTTCGCGACGCACAATGAAAGAATTTCCCCTTTTTTTCCTTTTCTCTATCTCTTTATTAGCTAATGGCAAAGAGGTTTATATATTCTGAATTCTGTCATCCACAAAGCACAGTTTTGATTGGTTATTTCTATCTGACGATAGTTTCATTCTTTTAGAAATGTGGTTTTGGCAACAGTTTTTGATTCATTGCTTTGGATACTGGAGTGCTGACTGTTTTCTCCTGAAAATATGAGATTTATTGCTTATTTCATTGTAATATTTTTACGTTATGTTTTAATTATATATAATTTTAATTATATAAAACGTTTTGCATGATTTTTTTAGGAAACAAAGTTCTTATTAACTTCCTTTATACCACTTGAATTCTAGAGATTTCGCAACAGGAAGTTGGTTAATTTATTTATTAGGATTCTAAATATTTGTATTAAGGGATATTGCTTATTGCAGTGTAAGTTTTTTAATATGTGACATATTTTTATTGAATTTTTTTTTGATAAAATTGTTTTGCAGAGTATAATTCGGTGCAGGTTTAAAATTTAATGTTTGGCGTTCGCTTTAGGCATTTTTACGGTACATTTAAAAGCCAGACGAAGGCTGGTCACGTAACGGTTAGTTAAATATAGTGCACCCATAAGTCATGGTGCGTCCATAAGCCATGGTGCACTTTTGTTCGGTCACATGAAAGCAACAAAACAACATAGAAATGTTAAATCTTCACCAAACAAAAGGAAAACTCTCCAAGTTTCCGTACCATTACGTGCAAGAGTGTGAACACATAGGTGATGACGCAGCATCGCGAAATGCGAAGGAGCAGATCAGCCCATCCACGCCCACGCTAGTGAAGAGATGTGGACCGTACAGAGGAAAGATCAGTGTGTTCCTGTGGCTTGCCAAATTCGAATCCGTGACCAAAGTGCAACGTGAATATCGTCGCGTATACAACGAACAGCCACCACATAGGATAACATAAATCGGTGGGATAAGCAGTTGAAGGATACCGGCAGTTTGTTGGATAAACCCCATTTTGGCAGACCATCAGTCAGTGACGAGTCTGTAGAGGCTATGTGGAAGACTTACCTAAGAAACTACTACTTACAAACTGCAGCTGTTACACGCTATCAAACCGACGGATAGACCCAAACGATTTGCGTGTGCTACAGATATGCTTCATGAGTTCGACAATGATAACCGATTTCTGCAGAAGATTGTGTTTAGCGATGAGGCGACATTCACTGTTAGTGGACATGTTCATCGCCATAACTTCCGTATATGGGCTACTGAAAATCCTCATGCCCACGTAGAGGACGAACGTAACAGCCTTAACGTGAACGTGAGGTGTGGCCTGATGCATGATAAAGTTATAGGGGGGCCATTTTTCCTTGCGGAGTAGACTGTACCGACATGGATGGAGCCCACATCAAACTGCACTGAATAGGTATGAAACTTTAAAAGGTGTTCCTTTGTTTGGTGAAGATTTCATATTTCTGTCTTGTTTCGTTGTTTTCTTGTGGGCGATTAAAAGTGCACCATGACTTTATGGACGCACTGTATATAGTAAAGACATCCAATTACTAAAGGTTGCCTATTACGCTTAGCCAACAGTCACATATTTCGTTTTATAAGCGATGTCCTGTAATATGTCCCTTTATTATTATTGTTACATTATTTTACGTGTAGGTCTCAAGGTTTTACGTCTCAAGGTGGTATTTGTGATCTGTGTCGGCTTAAATGCTCTGATGGGCTTCACAAATAGCCGAGTGGTTGAAAACAACGAATACTGGGAGTTTAGCACGGGTTAATTCCCAGGCAAAAGAACTGGCTGCATGGTTTTCCATGTGTAATATGAGTCCCCCCCCCGGTTGTTGACGTAGAGAACTCTGCGAAGCTACTGGCTAGGATCTCCTGGCTAGGCAGTCTCGGCCAAGGGGGTATAAAATTTATGAACTTGGTGGTTCTGAAGGCTCCGGGAAAGATCACTTATTGGCCGGCATTGAGGTCTGGCACGTCTTAGGGCGGCTTAGAACTAGTAGCCCGGGGGTCTTCCCCCGGGTACACTGGGTAATGACCCGCTGCGAAGGGCAGCCCGAGCGACTGGTGGGTAGCAAATGACGACCAGTGCCGTTCCGGGAGAATTCCTAGGCGGTGCGCATCTCTCTCTCTCTAAGGGGCCAGAAAGGAGGTTGAACCTCCGAATCTGGTTCTAAGGAGTGGGGGGGACCTGTAGTGCGACCTTAAAAGTGTTGCGGAACGGGGAATGCCCAAATTGTTGTGTAATATGAGTGTAACCTAGTATCGCTCGGAAAATCCTCCACGAAGTCATCTCTCCTCTCTGGTAGATAGCCCTCGTGGGCATTCCTGTATTTCAATAACCCAGATCGATTCGGACTGGATTATGTAATTACATCGAGAAGCACACGATATGTGTATCTGCATTTTTATAAAGAATTTCCAAAGGACGCTGACCTTTGGTTACCACGGAGAAAATCCCGAAAATCTTCAAGTGGCCAGACAGCTCAAACGCAGGTTCTAGAGGCAAGAATAACGTTACTAGTATTTCCTAACTTTATCCACTCGGCTACTATTTCCCTTATTTCTCCTACCCGGCATAAATGATGAAATCTGCAAATAATAAAACTTTTCTAAAACTGCATAAAATTGTGTTATACCAACTCTGGTGCAACTAGTTTTAATGAGATATAAATAGTTTTTAATTCAGATAATTTTTGGAGATGATTCGTTAATTAAAGAAATCTGCAATAAAAATTATTAAAATCATGCCCTGAATGAGTTTTCGAATTATCGTTTTCTCCCGGCATAGGTTTAGGAGGAAAATTACAAATATAAAAATCAAAATAGATAAAAGAATTATCTCAAATCCGTTCAGCAAATTCAAGTCAGCAAACATTAGAAACATTTAAAACCTACTTACCTCTTTTGTAAATGACTCGCGTGTGGCTGAAAGAAAGATGACAGAAGATGAAGGATGAAGGAAAAAGTCTTCATTTCACCTAAAATTCAGAAGGAGAGTTTTAAAAGAAAGGAAAACACATCACAGAACTAGAACCTCAAAAGTCTGGGTACTATCAAATTCATGTTTTCATTCACCACAAGGCAAGGTACAAAGGAGAGGAACACGATCCGATGTATGTGGTGTAAAAATAAACCTTATGATCTTGCTTGAGTCGCCTCTGAGTTCGCCACAAAATAAAGAATCACACCACAAAACCAAACTCAAGCACAATCACAACATTAAAATATAAACTATTAACACATATCAAGTAAAACGAAACAAGGGCATTTAGAATTAAAAAATCACAAGGCATAAAATTAGTATCTCAGTAAGTCAAAAGGAATAAAATTACAAGTAAAATCTCCAAATCAAATCTACAAAATTCTCTAAGATCACTAAAATGCAAATAAAAATACAATAAAAGTCAATTTTTAGTTGGTACGGTTATAATTTTGATTATATAAAAACATCACATACACTCCGTTTGCCGTACGTAATTTATTATATCTTATATTCTGAAAAATTTGCAATTTTCATTTGTTGTCTGACACTTTCTATTTACCGTAATTTCCGGAAGAAACGCCGCGGCG